TTTATTATTGAATAACATCGTAAGTATTTCCAGGGGCGGATCTGGCTTCCAAGTGTTAAGTGTAAGTTTTTTTTTTGTTTTTTTTAAATTTTTATTTATTTATTTTTTTGGAGGAAAATTTTGGTTCTTAAGAGGTATCTTTTAATGACTTAAAAGTTCTTCAATTTTTTATTTAAACTTCCAATGTAGGAGATATACCGTGTATTTTGTGACAGAAGCATGTCACTTTGATCGTTTGATTTTATAAGGCCTGCGAACAACAAAAATAGTGAAAGTGTCATTTTCTAAAATCTGAAAGGGATTTAAGGTCAAAGGTTCTAGAAGGGGTATATTATTTGTCAAAGGTTATGTCATTTTCGGAAAATATATCTCATTGGAAGAAGTAGAAACATGCATAAAAGCCTACTAAATATTTTGAAAGAAGATTAACTTCTACAACCAGCGGTTGTCAAGATACGGATGCCCTATGTACTAATTTGTATAATTAATCTAACTTGCATATTATTCTCGCTTACCATATAGGGAATTTACATAAACTCCTGGCACCTTGGAGAACAAATATATTGCAAATGAAGTAAGTGTGCTGCGACAATATCTTAAATAAATTTCGTTAACACACATGTTTCCTTGTTTTCTTTTCCTATAAATGCATTGAAAATAAACAAACATACTTTTCTAATAACATTACTGTTTTCCGAGGACATATGTTCTAGGAGGGGTATATTATGTGTCAAAGGTTATATCATTTTCGGAAAATATATCTTATTGGAAGAAGTAGAAACATGCATATAAGCCTACTGAATATTTTGAAAGAAAATTAACTTCTACGACCAGCGGTTGTCAAGATACGGATGCCCTATATACTATTTTCCCAACTAATTTGTATAATTAAGCTAACTTGCATAAATTATTATTCTCGCTTCCTATATAGGGAATTTATATAATCTCCAGGCCCCTTGTAAAACAAATATATTGCAAATGAAGTAAGTGTGCTGCGACAATATCTTAAATAAATTTCGTTAACACACATGTTTCCTTGTTTTCTTTTCCTATAAATGCATTGAAAATAAACAAACATACTTTTCTAATAACATTACTGTTTTCCGAGGACATATGTTCTAGGAGGGGTATATTATGTGTCAAAGGTTATATCATTTTCGGAAAATATATCTTATTGGAAGAAGTAGAAACATGCATATAAGCCTACTGAATATTTTGAAAGAAAATTAACTTCTACGACCAGCGGTTGTCAAGATACGGATGCCCTATATACTATTTTCCCAACTAATTTGTATAATTAAGCTAACTTGCATAAATTATTATTCTCGCTTCCTATATAGGGAATTTATATAATCTCCAGGCCCCTTGTAAAACAAATATATTGCAAATGAAGTAAGTGTGCTGCGACAATATCTTAAATAAATTTTTTTAATAATGATTCCTTGTTTTCTTTTCTCTTAAATGCATGGAAGATAAAACATTTTCTAATAATATCACTGTATTCCGAGGACATAATTTACAAAAAGTTTCACTTGTGTTTACACCCCTTTTTAAATTCAAGACTATGATTTGATATACAAAAAGAATTCATCAACAATTTAATATACTATATTCATTGAGAGGTAGATTCAGTTCAAAATTACGTTTGAATCTAGGGTATTGTTTTAAATTACTTAAGTTATTAATGTACTGCTAAACCAATTTTGCTCATTTATGTCTTGGCATCGTTTGTTAAAATTATAAATGAAGGCTGTTTCATCAACCACCCCTTGGACTTCCCCACATCCATAATGAAACAAAAGAGACCTATTGCAACTGGCCAAGCAATCACTCTCACTATCGATAAATCTTAACTGTTCCACATATGCATTATGTACAAATCTCTCTCTATCCAGTTTTATAATTCTCAGCCAATACTTGATCATTCTTGTCAGTCTTTTAGATCTAATTTTATGTCGACTTACGTACATAGACTTAGACGCCTGTTCTGCCAGGGTATTTTGTGCCATAGGCCATATACCACGAAATGAAAAAAAAAAACAATGCCTAATTATTTAAAATAAAGAACGACTTTAATAACATTACCCATGTCCATTTTACGTAGTGCCTGAGAATTTCCCCATTTCTGAACACAATTATCTTATATTTCTTCAAATTAACACTAATTCCGAATTTAATACAATATTTATTGAACTCAATAATTAATTCTTGTAATTTTAATTGGAACTGTGCCATTAGCACATGATCATCTGCAAATAAGTAAATTATTTTATTGGTTTCCATTTCAGAAGAAGATTATAAAGTACTCTCGTCAATATTTTGCAAGTTGCTGTAATCAGAGATAATATACTACAGTAGTTTTGTGACAGGTTTTCTATCCCCCAATGTAAATAATGGAATTATGATAGAACTTGTCCAAGTTGAAGGTATATTTCCCGTATTAATAACTATATTAAAAATTGTAGTTAAGTCAAAATGTAAAGGTTAACGCATCGTTAAAAATGGCGGTTGAAATTCAATACCAGTTGACGCATTTTCTCTCAAAGCCAATGTACTTTCGTTGACCTCGTCAACCGTAATTTTTGCATTCATTACATCAATATTCACGGGATCTGTATCTATGTTGCAATACATACCTGTACCATCAATCTCATTTATTACTTGTTGGTCATTAACAAATAAATTTGAAAAATAATCTATCCAATCACTATGAGATATTTCGTTGCCTTAGATTTTTCTTTTTCTAAACAAATTCCAAAAGTGTTTTCCGTTATCAACTGTTAATGAATTAATACTTTTCTTTTTCATTTAAAGATTTAGAGTATTAAAACCTCTTAATCTGAATCAATCTTTTGTATTTCCTGATATTTCTTTCTTGGTAAATGCAGGTAAATTCTTGTTAGATCTATCATTTCTAGAAGTGTTTAAGCTTTATAAATATCTTTCCTTTTATTTCTACAATTTTTTGTCAAACCAATCCTTGTTATATGATTTTTTATTTTGTCTTATTTTTGCAAAATTCATAAATAAGCAATTAAATTTAGACTCATATTAATATTTTCATTATTTTGAATTAGCGCTTAAATAATTTGTTGAATGATACTATTATTATTTATCTTGATTTCGTTTTCATTTGCTATATAAACTTTATAATCAAAGTAATAACTTGGAACCCTTCATTTACATACGTCTGATCTGTTTTACTAAAATTGATATTAAAGATTAAGGAATAATGGTATAATTTGATTCGGCTACTTATTTTAAAACTACTTATTTTGCTAAAGAACAGAGTAAATATAATCAAATGATCATTAACAATTTTGCCATTAAAATTACTAAATGTAAATTCGCCTTCTTCGTCACCCACTTTCCTTATATTAACTATGCACATTGATGTATTTTAACATAACTCAATCAGCTTCATTCCATAGTCATTAATTTCACATTTCACAGTTGATCTATTGCGTATTTATGGGCCTATTTCATACTCATTGTCATCAATTAGGAGGTAGTTAACATCGTCAAATAAATTGGTATCATCGCATATTATGGGGCATGTGATAGAGGTATAATTTTTGGAATTCTCTTTTGTTAAGTTCTCTGTTAATTGTTTCCGTTACTATAACTATTGCCAAAAAAAAAAAAAAATATGGTTACTATTTTGAAATATTTAGCTTCTTCGAACGAATGCCATGAACGATGTAGATTCAAATATTTTGCTACACGTACCATTACATTATTTATATTTTCCAGCATTTTATCTTAAATAACCCTTGACCTGCAATAACCTGAAAAGCTTCCCCATGACATTTACATAATAAACAATTTTTGCAGCATGCGTAATGAGCATGATTTAAGCATACTATCAAAATTAATATTTGACCTCAAATGACTTCTAACCTCTATAGAATAAAAACAAAATGGACTCTCACTTCATTAAACGCTGAAATATATCATACTTATGCCACAAAATATATGGGACAGTTATATGTTGGGTCTTAGCTCCTACATTCGAAATTAAAAGAAATTATTACATTTGTGGGTGAAGATATCATGTTTTGTTGTTACATTTGTGTAGGCACTGGTTGTTACAGTTGTGGGTATTATTACATTTGTGGGCCTTTTTACATTTGTGGTTTCAACACGGCTGCTGCTGCAATAGTAGTAAGTATCGAACTTTAAACATAATTGGTGATGCATTTGAAGACTGGCAATCTGATATTGGATTTTCATTGACCTTTCTAAGGTTTTGATACGGCTGACCACAAAATTCTCTTATAGAAATTATCTTATTATGGAATACGTTATTCCGCCCTCGATCTTTTACAAAGTTACTAATAAAATTGTAGACTTTGTAACAAATATCATAACTCCATTTCGCGTCTCATTACATGTGGTGTTTCTCAAGTTTCTTTGTTAGGTCCACTCCTCTTCGGAATAGGATTGCAGTACCCATTGCTACATGGGGATCAGATTCATCACTATCCACCAAGCGCAAACTCGGTGGTCTAGTGATTAAGGCATCAGGTTAGTTACCTAGAGGTCGTGGGTTTGATTCCCACCCAAATCACTTGCAAGATTTTTTCGCAACTATTCGGGGATGTACTGAGCATTCAGTACTTATAACACGTTAGTTCATATAATACATTCACAAATAAACTTACCGATTGTCTGCTGTATGAAATCAGCATATTTAGACACTTTCGCGTATACTCCAGGTCTATTTGGTCGAGCACATCCTACTCCCCAGCTTGTGACACCGACAAGGTTCCAGGTATCATCATCTGATTTGCACATCAAAGGACCACCGCTATCACCCTGTCAGCAACGTATTGAATCGAATATTATTATATTAATAATTATAATAATAATATTTATTATATTATTAGGCCTATGACGATTATTGCTATAATCATCATCATCATTAACATCGCCGTCCTTTAATATCATCATTACTATCATTTAAATCATAATTGTTTTGTTATTATAATTGCTGTCATTATTATTATATACTTATCGTTAGTCTTACAGTAATTTGTATTGTTATTATTTTTGTTATTATCATCTTCACTGTCAAAGAGAAAAGGCATTTTCCAGGACTGGGTCTTTAAATAATTTTTATCGTCTATATTTAAAATATTACTAAATATGATTATTTTTTTCATTTATTTTCAAATTTCAAAACCTGCATTAATATTCAAAAACATAATTCATCATCATGCAATTGTACACAAATACATTTGAGTACCTAAGTAATCCAAAGTATTTTGACAAATATATTAACATACGAAACACACGCTTTGACCGCCAGAAGCATAACCAGCACAAATCATATTGTCAGTTACGCTATACTCAGGATATAGACTGCGACATTCTTCGATACTCAGCAGCGGAACACTTGTATCTTGCAGTGTGTTTGGATTGGTACCTTGTAAAAATAATGCATTTTTTAAAGTCGAATCATCTGCGTTATACAGCTATCATACTAAAGATACTGAAGCAAATTTTATGGAGTAATGACGAAGTTGTTAACAAAACGTCTTACTGGTACGCTAATTTAAATGGCAAACCGATTAAAGCAATATACACAATTTTGCAATTTTCAATAAGCTAAAATTTATTTGCCAATTATGGTAAAGTACATGCAATATGAGAAACTTGCGCATGCGTAAGCTGTCAGCTGGTTAATTTCGTGTAACATCGTGTTTACACTTGTGTGGGAAAATAATGATTGATGCAGTTTGTAGCACTATTTTCTAGAATGCACATAAGAAATAAAAAATCGGACGGTGTAACTCATTCTAAATTTAAATTGGTGCAAAATAAAGCTAACATTCACCGTCTGTTTACTGACAGATAATAATTACTGTATTCACTTTCTACTTAAAATGTTTTTTCTTATTATTGTTACGTAAAGTTAATTAGTTAGTTTAAAATTATTATATATTTTTTATATGCCGTTTTATCAAAGTCTTCTATGCAACACATATACACCAAGAGCCCAACTTTTCAAATGAATATATTATTTCCAACTACTTGTCCTATAGGCATAATGATCAGGCGCGGCGTAGCAAGGGCGTCGATCCGTGGTTAAAAGTGGGGGGGGGGGACGAAATTAAAAATAAAGCCTTTGGCCGTACGCCCAAGCCTTAATTTGGGACCAGGGGAGGAAACTCCCGGAAGGTCTGGCGCCTATAGCCTTTCAATTGATTTTAGCTGAGACAAAACACGTGTATAGTTGTCTCAGATTTTAGGCAATGCAATTAACATTTATTCCCTTACGAAATTTTCAAAGTATCCAGTGGCGGATCCAGTAATTTAAAATAGAGCTGGGCCCAGAGAGGTACTTTTACAGATGGAGAGAGTAGACCACCTCAGCCCCACCATGCTTTTAGGGCTTAGGTAAGAAAATTTATGATTATGCCACTTCCAATTGGTCGGAAATTGCACTCTCAGACTGAATTTGAAAATAATTTCAATATATTCAAGGGGCTGGCTGGGCCCCTTGAATCTGCCACTGAAATACTCATAAAAAAAAATTAAATTATCCTTTTAGTCATAATTATGCCCGTTTATATATTTCGTGCAAACTAACATTTATTAAAATAATGATTTATTATCTACTGATTAGCTTGTGACATATTCAAAAATTCGAACAATGAAAAACAAATAAGATAAGCTTAAAACAGTCCTTAATTTTAATAGTCCTTTTGCATGTAATGTACAGTATTTTTAAAAATCAATCAAGAGGTTTTCTCCTGTTTTTGAATTTCACTTTTGTGTAAGTAATATTGCGACTACACTATTGTGAGTGGAAATAATGCCGTCTAATGTACGATCAAACAGGACTAGGGAGATAGGGAGCACACAAAATATTAGTTAGCATTTTGATTTCTCAAACATTGGTGATTTACTTAATTTATCATTATCAGTGGCGGCTCCAGGAAGGCAAAATAGAGGGGGGACAGGGAGGGACACAATTTTGAAAAGTAGATCACCTCAGCCCCACCATGCAGTGGCGTACCTAGCAGTATTAAAATGGGGGGCTGGTGAGGGGCGCGACCAAAATATGAGGGGGCGTGGAATTTATTTTCGGTGGCCACGCCCACAGAAAAATATTGCTTCTTAGATTCCCGAATACACGTTAACCGTGACAGCATAAGCATAAGCCTAGCCTAATTTTTTTTGCTTCGAAGTTTTCGAATGGGGGAGCGACTGGGGGCGCAAGCTTTTTGTTGGGGGGATAGGCCTATTAGATCTCTAAAAACTTAAGGCACTGGATCAAGTGAAAATAACATGGTTAAGTCTTAAACTAAGAAACAAAATAGCATTTAAAAATTATTGAACTGCATACTATTGACAATAGCAGTGAGTAATGTCTGTACTGTATGGGGGAGGGGCTGCTGATGTACTGTGTAGCGGGGGACGATGAGGCATAAGACTAGTCCTAGGCCTAACTAAGCCAGTGGAATTATATGTGATAGAGAGTACACTTTCGGAAGAAATACATTAAAATAAGAAAAAAAAAAAAAAAAAAAATAGGAATAATTCAGTTGCAGAGGTACCTTGTTTAAGTATTATACAATGCTAACAATGCGGCTCTTGTAGCCCTGGCTTGGGCAAGGCATCCATGTGCAAAGCAGTGGTGTTTGTTTATCCATGAAAAAAGCACACCGGGAAAGTTTGCCTTACCAGGAAAAGGTGACGTAATCTAGCTTATGACGTATGCATGCTAACTAATGTGAGTGTGACGTCACCAAAAAAATAAATATTTTCTATTATAACCAAAATATTAATAACTACAAAGTTTCTGGGCGTAAATTCCCTTAATACGAATGAAGGGTTGCACAATCTCCTTGCCATACAAATTACAGCTCCTACTGATGTCTCAGTCGAGAAATACGGGTAGCTGAAGTTTTTCTCGCAAATCTGACTACGAAACCATATCCAAATTTCACGTTCCACTTTTGACCCTGAGGCGTGCTTCGCACTCGCCGCTGAGGGCGGCGTTCCGGGAACCCTGCGTCTAGCTTATGAGGTATGCATGCTAACTATTGTCAGTGACGTCATAATTTTCTATTATAACCAAAATATTAATAACTGCAAGGTTTGTGGGCGTAAATTCACGTCTCAGTCGAGAAATACGGGCCCCCACCCCCACTTCACATTCGCGCTCCCATCAGCCCCCCCAGACCTCTAGATACGCCACTGTACACCTACAGTGCCTAGAGGCATCAGTGGTCTATAAGGCGCTATGTAAACACAGTTTTATTATTATTATTTTTAGTTATTATTTGGAATAAAAAAAAACAATGAGTGGGTGACTGTAATAAATTGAGTGGATAGGCTCTGGTACGTTGCTAAATTATTTTCAAATATTGAGTGGATAGGCTCTGTTACAATAAACTACAAGGATGTTGTAGCGGACCAATATCAAAGTCAAGCCCTACATACATACAAATGTAAAATCATTATTTTACCATATTGCGACAAGCGTCCCCATCCTGCTGCATAACACAATGTACCTGGTCGATATTCTAAGCTTTCATAGCAAAGTGGCTGAACAAATTGATTAAATTGCACCGGTGAATCGAGTCTAAGTAATGCAATATCATTATCATTACTAACGTCATCATACTCTGGATGGATAACAGTCTCAGCAATAAGGACACGTTCACGAAACACAGAATTATCGTCCTGAGTTGTTATTCCTGCAGTAATACTAATTTCTCCCAAAGAATCGCTGGAGAAAAAAAAAAAATATATAGTCATGTACTGATACGATATTTTGCATACACTTTAGATGAATCAAGAGTTATTGCAATTTTTTTTTTGTAATTTATCACTTAATTGTTGTAGTTGTATATCATCATCCCAAAAATGTTAAATATTTCACTCTTTTTCACAAAATAATACATCTTTTACAGATGTACGTGACGTTTTATTTCAACATCGCATAAGTACCTGTACTCACAGGGGTTACAGCGAATCAAACCTGAAATTTATTCCTTCAAATAACGTTATCGACACGGTGATAATAATGTTACAAATATTATAGGGAAGACAAAATGTGAACAAATGTCTTACATGCAGTGAGCAGCTGTTATGGCCCACTTCTCGTTGATTAAAGATGCACCACAGTAAAATCTGCCATAGATCTCAAACGAAAGCATCCAAGGCCATTCTCCTGGATATGAATCTTCCCCTCCGACAATGCGGGAACTACTTACTTGAGTTTGTTGCATTCCACATACAGTAACAGATGCTAGAATAATGCATTATCAAAAACACAGGTTTAAATATTCTGAATAAATTACAAGCTAATTCAAACAGAATACACTATACACCCTTTTTCGGGTCTATTTTTAAACAGCGCCACCAACGTTTCACAACTTTTCACTGGGGGTAGTGGTGGGGGTGGGGGAGGGGAGATCCAGCCAGAGGCTGCAAAGCTTGTTCGAAAATTTATTTTTTTCCAGAAAGATATTCTCTTTCTACAACCGGAGATACTCCAGGTTTTATGCGTCCCTATTTTCTTGTTTTTTGGTTTTGGTATTTTGTCCTAGACTACCTCACTACAACAAGAAGGTAGTACACCGGTCACAGCACAGAAACACTGGTGACTACGTAGAAAAAATTCCTAGGCCTCTGGATGTCCCGCAGTGGTAGTTAACAGGGTCTCGAAAATTTTTCATTTAAAATTTAGCGACTCAACTGGTGTATACCTGAGAATAGTTGGTGTTTTCCAACTATTATCAGGTTGCATAAATTATTGCTTTAAAATATATACAGTTATTAGTCTTATTATTGCAAGGTTGAGCGAGTCGAATGGCCAAGCGGTTAAGGCATGGGCACTGCAACCATAGCCAACAATAATAGCCCGGGTTCGCGGTCGCTTCGCTCCCAGTTCCGATGGCGGAACAAGTCTTCTCGGATAGGAACAATAAACCGTAGGCCCAGTCTACACAAATGCTTATGTGCACTTTAAAGAACCCAGTAAATCTTTTGAAATGAGTAGGGGGTTACTCCGGTGTACTGGCCCATACGGGCCCTGTTGTCTTGTGATGGGATTGCCACTTTGAAGAGTGATTTAGTTCATTGTTTGGCATATCATAGGCGTGCCTAAAGCTGAATAAATAAAAAAGGTAGGTGGCTGAGCGATTAAGGCGCAACGTACACCATACTGCACGCTCGTCTACGGTTTGGTGGTGGAACAAGTCTTCTTGGATAAGAACTATAAACCGTAGGCCAAATTTACACAACTTGGCCCATGCGCTCTTTAAAGAACTCTGTATATCTTTCGAGACGAGTAGAGGGTCAACCCGGCGTACTAATCCATACAGTCCCTATTTTGGATAGACGATGGCTGGTACCGGTATACCGGGCAGCTCAGACACGAAGAGATCCTTAGGGAGAAGCAATTAGTTACTGTAAGTCCTTGTCCACACCTTTGGCGCTTTGAGACAGTTTCGGTATGAAGGATATAAATTCAACTACATTACATTGAATTCTATTGTTACACTTTCACTAGGCATATTAATCTTAGTCTTATTATCATCATTAAAATCATTTATTTTATAATTTCCATAGTATTTTATAATGATTTTTTATTATCATTATCACTTCAGTTATTCCTTCTGGAAGAAATGATGAAAGATACAGTGATAGGCCTACTTAAAAAAACGTGCATTGTCCCGACAAACATTTTGCAAGAAAGAGTACTGCTGAGTGTTATAAATATACTTACAATTGTAGCAACCCAACTCATCTGACCAGTCACCACAATTGTTAATTCCATCACAAATGCTTGTATTACTTAAACACACGCCATTTGGGCATCTAGTCCCATTACAGCCTGGAAATACAAAAATATGTAGGAGGCTTACGTACATAAAATATAAAGAGAGGCCGCTGTACTAGGTCAGTTTAGGTGTCACTTTAAAAAGACGTTTATGACTTAATACGGTTACTAGACAATAATGACGAATATAACAGCTTGACCATTAATATTTATGCGTAGATTATGTTAATTCTATCTTTATTTCAGAATTTCACATGCATATACAGAAAGAAAAAACATTCAATTAATGACTGAAAAAAAAAAAACAATACATACACACACATACATACATATATTATTATAATATTATAATAATATAATACACACACACATATATATTATTGTATACTTATAATATATTATATTATAATAACATTATATTAAAATATATATTATTATTATAATATTGTATTATTATTACATATATATTGTATTATTATATTATATTATATTACTACATTATTATTTTAAAAGTGCTATAAAAAGTCAGTTTGCTTTTGAATAAAGAGACCTCTAGTTGAAATGGAGATGGAGAGACATCCAGTTTAGATTTGCCAGAGATATTCAACTACTTAACTTGTGAAACTGGCTAGAAACATGTTCAAAGCTTGAATAGATTGTATTGTATTTCAATTCTCAAAACACATATGGGAATTTAAAAGAAAGGGCTATCAATACTCTCATTAATAAAAATAAAATCATAAAGAAATCCAACACACACAAACGTAAAATAGTGACTTAGCATTTCACCTATGGTAATGATGTAATTATACGAATAACACATTTTTGGAGGTTATATAATTTGACAAGAGTTGTAGGATAGTCACTTCCCCATATAATATTTCCGTACTAAAGGTAAGGCAAAATTAAGGTATTGTAAAGAGCGAGCAAAATATTCGTAGGAAAAATGTTTGACTCTGCCAATTACTCCTATTGATTTAGAGATATTTTTGCAAAGGAGTCAATATGAATTTTCCAATTAATATGTTCATTTAAAATTATCCCCAAGAAATAAACAATTGCTTTACCATTAATCTTAAGACAATCATCAATTTCAGGGCACTTCTTCTGATTTGGATGGAAAATGTCAGAGTTAGTTTTGGTAATGTTTAACAATAGTTTGTTAAAGCTGAGTCAATCAAATACCTTTACAAGTTCATGGTTTATGTCAGTTGTAAGTTGTTTTGTGAATCTTGTAATATGAACACTCACAATAAATTCTTATACACATCT